TTGCAGTATAACTTTCTCTCATAACTTCCTTAAACTGTGCCACACTTGGGCATCTAGTGTTAAAATAAATTTAGAAATCTAAGTGAGGCCCTTGCACATACAGATCTGTCTACACATCAGTCAAAAGCTCCATGCGTGGTCACACTACTGTTATTTTTTTTACCTTTGAGAGAAGACACATTCTCAGAAGTGTTGACAATTCTCTTGTTATCGTGGATGTCAGATTTCCCACTGCGGAGTCTCCCTGCAACAAAACGATTGACAATGTTTGAAAATGTTTGAAATATAAGAGACAGAACACCAGCCACACGTCAAGAAAGTGAATTAGAGTCAGAAATTACTGAGAAGTACTGATTGAAAATTAGACTGCACAGTACGACTTCTAGTAAAACATTAATATATTCAATATGTTTGATCAGTGTTTCTCAAACTGAGGTGTGAGTACCACTGGTTTGTTTACACATTTTTGTCATTGTCTAGAACAAACTAAAATAGCAACTGTGTAGCCCCCTTTTAGGTCTGGTTTAGTTATAGGGGTGTCTGAAGACCAAATATTTTCTTAGGTGGTATTTGGTGTGAAAAGTTTGAGAACCACTGTGCTACATATTTCAATATTTGTCACTAATCATCATCAATAAATCGTTAAATGGCAACATGACAATACTTTACCACTCAACTACAACTATGACTAGGATAAATAAGAAGCAAAAAAGTCCTTAAAACTAATTATGATATATCCCAATAAGGACAAAAAAAATAACTGTCATGTTATTGAACTTATAAAGATGTCTGATGATTTTGCATTATATGTGGATTGATTGATGTGTGCCATTGTTAAATCTAGGTTTGCAGGGCCATTTTAATTAATATAATCAATAGGTGTCTCTTGCTTTACTCTTACTTTCCTTTTTTTTCAGGCTAACAAATCATCAGCTGTTCCTTTTCTGACCTATCCTCCTCTTCTCTCACACCATTTAGTTTCATGTCCTCTTTCACCACATCTATAAATCGTAGACTTCCTCTTACCCTCCTGCCTGACTATTCTAAACCCTTCTTCCAAACTGTTCCCTATCTCCCCCTGCTTCTTGCACAAACCACTTAAGCCAGGCCTTACAAACGTTATCTCCAAAATATGAGCTGCATATTGCTGTCAAAAAAATGAATAAAAAAGATATTAATTAAAGAATATTAAGAAGTTTGTTGATGATGGAGCCATTTTTTCATAGGCACAAACATCTTAAATCACCATTCTTTTCCTGCCCTGGGCCACCTCACTTAATGCGTTTTCCTCCCGGGAGCCTTTCTTGGCAAATAGAGTTGTTTATTTGACTGCGGCCTGCACTCTAGCTGCTTTCTCTAATTAAAAAGTGGCAAAAACGTTGAGGAGTCTGCATTTTATTTAACAGCTAATTGTGCTGACGCCAGGGACATGATTTTATACATTCTCTTCTCAAGATCACACATAGCCTATAGACCAATGTGTTTCTCTCACTGGTGGGGTGAATTTTAAACAGTCTGAAGCATTTAGTTAATCAAGAGGATGCAGTGGGAATATGACAATGACTCTTAACACTAGAGGACGTGCGTATGCTTAACACAGTGCTCCCATTAGACACAGCAGAATAATTGCCTTGTTTACTAACAGGTGTTTTTCATCTAGGCACAAAAATGAAGCGTTCCTGTTTGTAGAGGCGCTTTGGGCTTATCACGTTTGAAATGTAATGAGTTGTCTAATCAACAGTTCATGAGATTCAAATTGAGAGATGGGTGAAATAAGATGCACTAAATCAGGGGTGGGCAAACTTTTTGGCTCGCGGGCTACATAGGGTCCTAAAATTTGCCTAAAGGGCCGGACAGGAAACAGGACATGATGTGTTAAGAGCTCAGCTGCATTATACTCGTATTCACTTCACTGCAAACCACAGGTAAAGGTAATTTGTGAGAAAATAGGATTAACTAAGAAACACGACCCACACTGTAATGTCATGTACAATTTAACAAAACTCTTACACATTCTGTGCATATAACTCTTATAACACAGCATCTATGAAGTTCTTGTTTTTGACTTTTACCAACTCAAAACGGAAGCAGTGCAAAGTTATATCCTGAACACCACTACTTCACTCATGGTCCAAATAACTCCTGTAAGAACACTTTTCCATAAAGCATTGTGGCCAACATAATACGCCGCACCTCAATGTATATTTATATAGTGGGCCATCTACTGGGAAACTCCGGAAATGCATGAAAAATAAAACATCAACAAGGTTTATTATTGTAATTTATTCCAGTTCGGTGGGCCGGATTAAAAGGTTTAAAGGGCCGCATACGGCCCCCGAGCCGTAGTTTGCCCACCCCTGCACTAAATGATTATACTACATTATAAAGCAATAAGTCTATTGTTTTTTAGTATCATATATTTATGACTTTAAGTTCTAGGTTATTATAGGGCTGGGTAGCTTTAAAAAGTACAATATGGCTGCTTTGCTTTTATTCTAATAAGAGTCATTTTAAAAGTTAGAGGCCTACATTATTAGGCATTAGGTATGTAAAAATATGTAAGTCTCACAGTCCGATAATATCACTACACGGTACAATATTTATTGCAATATTTTGGAAACGCCAACAGAACTGCAGAAATGCTACTTTTTCTTTTTAAAAGACTTGCTATGCATTTGGTGCTATATTACTGTCATATTTAAAAGAATTAAGATAGAAACGTTCTTTTAAAAAGTTATTCCTTCATACTGTCTGCCTTAAAATGGAACAAAGTATCATAGTCTGTGTAGTTCCCTTTATTTATTAGCTGTTGCAATACATTTAAGCAAAAAAGCTTATAATTTGATATACTATGAAAACACATGATATAATTGTGAGACTTTTGACAATACAATATCACAATATTTCTGTTATTGTAACATACATATTATGCAGAAATAGGCTTACACCCCTATCTTATAGCTGTAAGAATGTGCAGTGGTTGTACAATACAGCCCAATGGTGTTATTTTGCCTTTATTAGGTATTTGTCTTTATTTCATTTTAGGTTCTCTCAACATAGCAAGGTGTTGGACATGAGGTTGCAATTTTCCTCTTTACCACTAGTTGCCAGTAATTCTAAACTAAATGCAGATCACATC